TCCGGACTGCGCGTCAGCAGCGTGACCTTCTCCCACTGTTCCACGTAGGTCTTCTCGGTGTGGCCCTCAGCGCCCTGAGTTTGTGCCTCAATCTCCTCTTCATCAAGCGCCGGCAGTTCGAAGCTGTGCGCCGCTTTCAGCTGGTCAAAGGACAAAAAGAATGTCTCGAAAATCAATCGCAGAACGCCGAGTGAGTTGAACCCAAGTCGAATCGTGAACTCCAGCATCCGCACATAGTGCGGCCACCGCATGAGCTTCGCCGGCACGTCAAGCGGGCGTTGAATGAACTCATCGATTTCAGCAGGCAGCGATTCAATGTCCGCGATGAGCCGATTCACGCCGCTCTCGAGCGCGGCCATGAAAAACTCGCCCGTGCGCGCACCGCCCGCGTTGCAGTCTGCCTTGAAGTTCTCTGCAGAGAACTCCGACAGGCGCGCAGCAAGGTTCTTGTAGTGAATTGGAGCCGCGGCCTTCTCGTCCAACAGCTCCAAGAACACATCCAGACTGTATGCAACATAGTTCGCAGACAGCAAACTCAACATCCGCTCGATTACGTAGTCTATGTTGGTTCGGAGGTTTAGCCGCCTGAGCAGGGCGAAAAAGTGAGGCGCGTACTCTCTGACCCACTTCTCGCTGTGCTCAACGCATGAGACCGCTTTATTGAAAAAGTGGTCCACAATCCAACAATGGTTCGTTCTCCTGCAGGCGCCGAGATCGCGAACCGAGCTATACGCCTCCAGACGCGTCAAGTGGCGAATACCCCAGGCCAGCGCCATGAAGTAAAATCGGAAGAGAGAGTCGTCTGCAGCCATTAAATTCTTCGTTTCGTTCAGGTCAGCCACTTGCACCACGAAGAAGTGCCAGACGTACAGCGCGCAAACCGGCTGCTGCACGGCGTTCAGCATTTGGAAGCAGTGGTTCACGTACTGCTGCAGCACGTCCGCTCTTGTGCGCGTTTTGTTGACCACGCTCGGCGTGTTGCACGCGGCGCTGCTTGTCGTGCAACAGTCCTGCGGAGAGTACGGCTCTCGCGAACCTTCCGCCGCTGCGCTTCGCGCTGCGTCTGGAGCCAAACTTTCTGCGAAGCGCTCAAGACAGTGTGGTGAATCAGGCGCGTTGCACGCGGTGAAACTGTCGACGTCTCCCGCGCCTGCGCTCTCCAGCGACACGCGTTCCGACAGCCGCAACATTGCAGCTAAGCAAGCGATCAGCGAATACACGCGCGACAAACAACTCGGGTTAAACAGCAGCGTCGAATATAGGCTCTCAAGGTAAGGCGCGTAGTCGCAAGAGTCGTCGCTCAAATACGCAATGAACGCTTCCAAAAAGCCTTCGCCCGACATCACCGCGCCATGGTACAGTTCGGGAATCATCTGGCAGTCGGTCATCGTGTTTAGCGCTTCAGTCAAGCATCTAAGCAGCGTGCTGATGTCATTTGTCTCCATCGCTTTTTTCATTGACGCGCTGTAGTGGCTGATCATCGCGCCCTCGCGCTCCGCATCGAGTTGTTTCTCAAACTGCATAGCCAGTCCTCAGCCGCGCGCCGCCCACAGATCGAGCTTCATATAAATTCGCAGCGCAAAATTGAACAATTTCCCTTCGCTAATTAGAATCTCGCTAGAATATTATGCAGGCTTAGTTGCGCCGAAGTTTCGCCGTTCGCGAAATGCACGCGCAACTGCACAGCGCGGAACGCGCTGCTATTGAGAAGCACTACCGCGATTTTCTCGACGACGAAAACTCATTACAACCCGGCATAGACACACGCAGTGCAGCGGTCGCCGCGGACTCGTCGAGCGACTCCGACTCGGCAATTTGCGGCGACGTCAGAGAAACTATGATTTCCGACGAAGACGGTAACGCTAGCCAACACTGCTCAAATTTCATCCGAAGTTCGATTGCGCGGCAAAGGTCTGCGGCAGCTGGTCGTGCGCAGACCTCAGACTGCGGCTCTCGTTCTGAACATCAGGAGACTTCGCATAAGACAGGGCAACGAACTCTCAAGCTGCACTATGAAAGCCTGCTCGAATCGTTGCAGTGGACAACTGACGTAACCTCGCAGCACTACGATGACTCGCAATTGCCGCTGCACAAAAAGATCGCGGAATTTCGCTTCGACCTCGCAGGTAACATGACGCACCCCGTCCAGTCAGTTGGTGCGCAGAAAGACTCAGCCACTTCAGCGCTGCGTCACCACGGCGCTCGGCCTGACTTGCCAGGTTACACGATCAACGAATTGCTTACTTACGCCTCTAGCAGCTACCCTGCGCAGGCAGCTCTAGGCATCACAGTTCTCACAAATGTGCTGAACGCGCGCTACTCACCGCTCCGCAGCGCTGAACCGGAGTGCGCGCCACTGCGCGTTGGGCAACAAGGCTTTGGTGTCGGATTAGTACTCTTTGACAACTTCTTGTTTTTCACCGCACAATTGCACCGCAAGCTGCTGTTCCTGCTGCAGCACACAGCGAGTCAATCTGTTCATCTGTTGTACGAAGCGCTCGCCGCGCTGTTCGGTTTCGCTCTCCACGCGTCTTCCATCGCGGATGCGCAAGAGTGTTGTGACTGTGCGCTTGACAACGCTGTCGATGACTTTTATTTCGGTCATTCGCAGCTCAAGAACGCTATGACTGCGCGACGCTCTGTAATGCGCTACGACTCATTGCAGCGCTGCCTCGAATCGGACTTACCGATGGACAGCAGCATGCCGTTGTACATTGCGCATGCGCAGCTCGCGGATTGCAACGACGCTCAGAACGACGACCCTAAGCAGAGGGCTTTTGAAGAAGCGTGCGACCCTGTTTTCTCGCTCCTGCTGCACAGATCTGCTGCAGGCGAATGTTTGCTCTTTTCGCAATTTAGGCTAGACGAAAGTTGGTCGCTTTTTGCAAAAACTGCCGCGGCGCTGCTCTGGCTGCTGGCGCAGCTTGCGCTGCACTCACGCCTCGCCGCTGAAGCAGTCGCTGAAGCTCTTTGCAAGGAGCCGGCCATCGAGCCTAAAACGGTTTCGACGCCCGCCAAGTTCAGCTTAGCTTCGCTTACGAACTATCTTTATGCCTGCTCCAAGACCGACGCGGAGAATGAGAGTGCTGCTGCTGAGTGCGCTTCGCTCTACCTCTTTCTGCTGAAGGTGCTCTGTGTCCAGCTCGAGCGACCGCTTTCCGCGTTCGGCCTCGCTCATAACAAGATTGCATCCTTCTGCACGGCATTCTGCAGCCAGCTAAAGCACTCTCGTGCTCTGGCACTGCCGCTCTTCATAGAGTTTGCGATGCTTGCGTGTTCGGAAGAACCGAATCCGCTTGGAGTAGGGGATGTTCTGCAATTGTTCGCGGACGAAGTCGCAGGCAAGACTGCGCCGCCTGCGAATCTAGACAGCGGCGTGTTTAGTGTATTGTGGAAATTCACGTGCAAAAGCCTGTACGCACTGCGCAACTGCGCCCCTTGCGAGGCAAACTACGGTACCATCGCTTTCGAACTGCAACTGCTGTTGCAGAGAGCCGACCAGTCCGACATGAACACCGCCGCGTTGCTCGCGCACGCGTGCGCTGCAATTTCCGCGCTTCCCGACTGCGAATTGACGCGTCTCACTTTTGGCACGTTGCTGCAACGTATGCGCTCTGCCGTGCTGGCTGTCGCGCAGCAGATCGAGCTAAAACTATCGGACACGGAGATCGACGAGCAGATAGCGGAGCTTCATAATGAAAACGCGATCAAGTACTGGGTGCGTTTCAAGCCGCAGCCGTCCGCGGCTCACTCTGCGCGATTCTGCGTCGCGCAGTTCGCAGCACTGCAAGGAACTTTTCCTGAAGAAAAACTCAACGCGTTGTTGGACAGCTCCGCCGCTGTGGCACGCAGGTGCGCAGAGTATCTTTCAGCGCGCGCGCTGGCGACTTGTCGGTTCATCGACGTCCAGCTCTCCGACTTCTTGTTCTTCGCGGCTCCCATTAGAGGGCTTAACGCACTGTGCGAAACGCTTTTCATCCTCCGACCAACGTTTTTGCAGTCGGCAGACGGGTTCAAATCGGCGCTCGCCGCAACTTCGCGCGTGAGCACGTTTAAACTGCTTCTGCGCACGAAGTTTCCAGATTTAGCGCAAAGCGACGCCGCGAAGCTGATCGCGCGTCACTTGACCGGATTCACGGACGACTGTGACACAAACAACGCACAGGACTTGGCAACCAGCCCAGTAAGCCTGTTCGACAGCGCGCCCTACTTAGCGCTGATGACGCAGTACCACAGCCTGCTCGACGTTTCGACAACAGCGCACTTCAGAGCGATGCTGGAGTTCCAGATCGATGCAGCGCACAGCGCCGCAGCGGTGTCTGCTGTGTTTCTGCACTTAACCAGCAGTTTGGCGCTCGGCGCTATCCAGCGCGACTTGGAGCACTACGACCGCCTGGCCTGCCGAAGCCTTGAACGCCTCCAAGCTCTCCTGCGTGAAGGCACCGCGATGGAACTGCTGCGCCACCTTAAGAACAACACGTGCGCGGCCGTACCGGTGAAGATCGCGGAGCGCATTTTCTCCAGCGTTGTTGAAGCAACTATGAAGTCATCGTACGCCACGCAATTCCTGTCGACTTTTCTGGTGCTCGTTGCCGCTCGTGAAATCGGAGACATGGAGGGAGCCGGCGCACTGCCATGCGAATTGCGCACGATTTTCCTCGCTAAATTGGCATATTGGCGAAAAACCAGCGAAAACTTAGCGCACGAAATTAGCACACTTATCTCATAGCTTGCAGCCGATCAAAGAGCACAGTTTTTGCGAATGCAGCTCTATGGATAGCGAACGTGTCTTCCAGAATGTTTTTAACCGCTCTTTGCAGCGAGATTTTTGCGCGCGCATGGTACGCGGCGGCGTCACAACATTCGATGAACTGATCGCCGCGTTAGCGGCAAACAAGATTGAAGGTTTATCGGAAGAACAGCTCGACTGGCTGCGAGCCGCAGCATTCGACGCGATCCAAACGCACAGCGGACCGAACACGCGGTCAACGACCGACCCAATGTACGGCACGGTCACGTTTAAGCGCAACATTTGGCACGGAGTGATCGACACTCCAGCGTTCCAGCGCATGCGGCACATCAAGCAGCTTGGAACCGCGCATTATGTATTTCCTAACTCGCTGCACTCGCGCTTCGAACACTGCGTTGGCGTTGGGCACCTCTCGCAACTCTACTACGACACTTTGGGCGCAAACATGCGCATCGCAGACCGTATCCCGCGACACTTGTACGAGTCGCTGCGCGACTGTGTGACGATCGGCGGGCTATGCCACGACATAGGGCACGGGCCGTACAGCCACACGTTTGAGACCTTCCTGCGCTCTGTCGGCGTAGAGTTTTGCCACGAAGACATGTCTTTGCGAATTATTGAGTACTTATTCGAACAACTCGACTCTGACGTGCTGGACGACTACCGCAAGATCATCGCAGAGGTTGTCATGGGAAACAAGCTAGCGCGCGGCGTCTTTCGTAACATCGCGAACCCGACTGCCAACGACCTGGTCTCTTGGCAGAACAGCGCGCGGCACTTCAGCCGCGGCAATTGGGGGCTTACGGACGACGGCTTTCTCGAAGAGTCCTGGGTCCGCGGTGTCACATCTATCGTCGCCAACAACGTCAGCGGAATCGACACTGACCGGCTGGACTACGTGCAACGCGACGGGCGTATCACGAAACCCTCGCTCGTAACCGTGGAATACGACCGCATTTTCGCGAATAGTTGTATCGTAAACGGCACGATCGTCTACGCGGACAAAATCGTTTCCGACATCGACCAGCTGTTCATGAATCGCTACCGCCTCTACAAACAGGTTTGCTGGCACAAAGTCTCGCTCGCCACAGAGCTGATGGTCGAAGACATTCTCCGGCTGATCGAACCGTACTTTGAGCTGACGAAGTCCGTTGCTGACCTCGAAACATACTTGGAGTACAACGACTCCATTGTGGATTCGCTACCGCTTTTCGCGCAAAAAATACGCTGCTCTGCCGAGTCTGCCGCGGGCCACTCGTTGCGCAACCTCGACAAAGCGCTCAAGATTCACAAGCGGCTACTTAAGCGGCGGCTCTACACCTACATCTGCCATTTCGAAACGCTCGAAAACTCGCCAGTCACCGAAATCTCCGCGATTGACATCTTCAACCGCATTCCACAACGCGCCGCGCTCAATTTAGATGAGGAGGACATCCGTACGATTCTCTGCCCCAAATCATACGGCGGCTTGAAGACGAATCCATGGAAAACGCTCGTCTGCTATGACCACAACGTGTTGCCGAGCGAGAACGGCGCAAACTCTAATCTGTTTCTGCACCCTTACGCACAGCGCAAGTACGTGGGTGGCGACCTGTTTGTCTACGAATTTTTCGTATTCTGCACGCTCAGCGACGCAACTGTTTGCGCAGCAGTCAAGGCCGCAACTCTCGAGTGCATCACGCATCGCGATCCGCAGTTTTTCCGCCGCAATACGATCAGGGAAAAGACCAGGCCGCGCGCGCGCACGGGCAAAAAGTCGCTCTGCATTAACGACCTGGAAAACTATATCCGCCACTGGGCGGCCAGCAGTCTCCGCGCACCGCTAGGCGATCAGGAAGAGTCCGATTACTTCAGCCACTCGTTCGCCGAGGAATCCGACCAGGAATTTCGCTATACTACTTAAGCGCGCGCTACACTCAAGCTTTATTCACCTTCTTCAGCTCTTGCCGTTTAGACTCTGCAAGTTGCCACAGCGTTTTACCGCGGAAAGCGTCATCGAAGATACGCAAGGGAACTAAGAAGAAGCGGGGGCCAATCTCGCGCAGTTGCTGCCGGGAGATCACATTGCTGCTTTGCTCGTCGTAGATCTGATAGGAGCGCACGTAGATGCCGTCGTTCGCCCAAGCAAACAGTAAGACGTGATCGTGAAACGGCCTGGACTTCGGGTGGTACTGTGGGCACCCGATGATCTGCACGAATAGTTCCTTAATCAACTTCAAGTGCGGTTCCTCGCCAAACTCCTTGGAAAACACAAGCAGTGGCCGGCTGTTGCGGATGCAGTTTCCAAGAAAGTTAGTGCTCAGCATCGGAATCGCGTCCAACACACGGAACTTCACAGTCGGACCGCCTACCGCCTTGGCCAAGTACATGTACAAATCGCTGTGCTTGCGGGCTTCGAAGTACATCACGTTGTTGCAGTTCTTCATCTCCGCCGCTTCCGGAATATTGTCCAGTGACAAGCTTTTCTCCCACTTGACTTCTGCCACACTGTGCGGCATTAACTTCTTCATGTCCTCCAAAAGGTGCCGGTGCACTGCGCTGATGCCACGCGAGCAAAACGTCAGCGTGCGCTGCTTATTTGTCCACTTACAAGAGCGGTTTGCTCGACGCGTCTTCAGCTCTTCGATCAGATACGGGTCGCGCGCTTCTGCCTCTTTCAAAACGGCTTCGTCGGCAGACGCTTCTCCGTCATCGTCCTCGTCTCGATAGTACTTCGCTCCGCTACCGGAGGCTGCGTCTTCGGCCGACGGCACCGCTTCGCTCGGGGTTGTGCTTTCCTGCGTCTGCTCCGCGAGCTCACTCTTTTCCAACTGATCTGCTGCAGATGCGCCGCGCTCTTCAACCACTCTCGACTTGCTGCTTCCACTACGCTTCTCTTTTTTGCTGCGTTTGTTCTCTTTGCTAGCCCGCACCGGAGCATCTGTCAATGGCTCCGCAGCCGCGGCGTACGACTCTGTTTCGTGCTTAGAGCGCTTGGAACTCTGTTCCGACTCAGTCTTGCGCCGTAACCGCTTCTCGTCTGCTTTCTCAGGCTTCTCAGCTCCATTTGAGTCAGCCTTGAGGTGCCGCTTGGCGCCGGAAGGCTTCTTCGTTTCGGTCGTCACGCCAACGTCTACCGTAGAATCGAGCTGTGCTACCTTCGTTCGCGATTTGCGATCAGCCTTTGTAGTTCGCTTTTCAGCTGCAAGATGCTTGCGACTTTCTGGCGAAACGAACTCCTCATCAAGAACGGTCTCATTCGCAACTTTCTTGGGAGCATTCCGCACTTCGTCTACCTTCTGTGCTTTGCTTTTTCGCTCTTTGACCAGTTCTCGTTCTTCTACCGACGCTGGTTCCGACTTCTTAGCAGAGATAGCGCTGCTAGACTTCGTTTTAGGTTTCTTCATCGCTGCGGACTTTGGCATACTACCTAGCTGCTTTTCTCTTATAAGAATTATTAATTTTCATTCTGCTCAGCAATGGTAGACTAACGCGATTACAACATATGGAGGAGATTTCGTGGGATAATTTGAACGGCGCTGCTGCGCCGAACGTCACTCTTTCGCAAAGACTCCAGTCTATCGCAGAGGCTGCCGAAAAGCAGGAAGCGGGGAAGTCTAGCGCTGCGGAAGTGACAGCGTTGCGCCAGAATGTGCTGCACTCAGTGCAAAAACGCATTAACAAGTACAACGCTGAGGTTGCGCGCATCAACAACGTCGAGCCCGGAACTACCGTAGTCTTCAGCTCTACGGACGCAGAGCAGTTGCCGCAGTACCTCAGCGCTAGCGCACTCGACGCCGGTTTGGGACCCGCCAGGTTAGCGACGCTGGTTGCGGACGCGCAGAAAAGTTTTAAGACGAATCCGTTTTTAAAGTCGCGCATCGCGAGCCCGCACGTCAAGGCGCAGATTACCGAGCGCATCGTGCGCTCGGTTCGTCAGAGACACTACGCTGAAATGCAAAAAAACGCAATGCTGCGCCGGCAAAAGTCTAAGAACAAGTACGGGACGCGCTTTGCAGCGAAGAAGCAGCCGCTCGCAGATTTGCTGAACAAGCTTCAGCTGGAGGACCCGGAGAAGGCGGCAGAGCTGCGCCGCGAGTTCGAGGTGCAGCGCGCCGAACTACGGTTGCACATGGAGTCGTCTGCGCGCCGCCGCTGGATGAAGACAGCACAGCGCTTCGGCGGCCAGCAAATGTCGAAGCTGATTGCGCGGCAGATCGAAGAAGAGCGCGAAAAGCGCGAGATGCTCGAACAACACGCCGGCGAGCGCTTTGACGAAAACGACTCTGCCTCCGACGATTCCGCTTCTGAGTCTGAAGCCGCGCCCGCCAAAGATCCGCTGGAGCGCGTCCGTGCTTTAAATTTCATGCGCCAAGCTACAAGCGCGGACGAGCTCGAGCTCGACCCTGACCAGACGTGCGACGTTTCCGCGGAGCAATCGGCTGAGGCCGTACTCGCCAAGGAGCGCGAAGAGAGCCGCGAGCGAAACTTCGCGGAGGCGGGCGACGTCGCCGATCAGTTGCCTCGCGTGAGCCGCAAAGAGCGCGTCCAGGCCAAGAGCCGCGTCGCAGCGCGCGCTCTCGACGAAGAAATCGCTAGCGCCGCGCCCACGGCGAACAAGTACTTCACTTTCTGCCCAGTGGTTACCGCCGAGGCAGAAGAGTTTCCCGACAACATCATTACGGAAGCGATGGCCGCGGAGCCGGCAGATGAGCCGGACGCGTTGTTGACCGTGCTGACCAACGAAGACGACGCGCTCGGCGGTTTCAAAAGAGAAGCGAGTGCCGACCTGATGGGTCGCGTCGAGCGCAAGCTAGACGAGGTCGCGCCCAGCGCGCTGGACGGCTGGGGAAGCTGGACGTGCGAAGGCTATCGCGACAAACGGCAAGCGAGCTCGGACAAGTTGCGCCAGAAGCTGCGCAGTGCGGCGGAAAAAAAAGTGGGCGCGCTGCAGCGCAAGTGCAACTTTGTGCAAATCAATAAGGAGGCGCTGGAGCTTGGCCAAAAATACCGGCCGAAAACCAGCTTCTGTCAAGTCGACGGCGCCGAGCAACTCGACTCGCTGCCGCTAGGCGACGAATTCGTCCCGGAGAACGTGCATCGCATGCTCATCGCGCCGAAGTACCGCGCGACGGTCGGCAAAGTGGTCGCGCCGATGACCGGCAGCGACGTGCGGCGCAACTAGCTGCGCCCTACTCGCTGCGCAGCTGCGCTTCATGCAGCGCTTGGCACATCGAGAGCTCCGGCGCAAAGAGCTGGTCGAGGTCGACGCTCTCGAAGCACTGCTCGAGCGACCAGTCGCTGCCGCGTTGGTCCAGCTCGAGGTCGGAGAGGCTCAAGTCTTCGACGTACTCGATCGCGCGTGCGGCGTCTCCTGCTCCGCTGAGCAGCGGCCGGCGCTCGTCTGCGGGCTGTGCGCTGCAGAACTGCTTGTGTCGGTCCGCCAGCAAACTCATCTGCAAGTCTTCGGCAAACTTGCCCAGCGGCTGCCTGCCCGGGAGCAGCAACTCGCGCTCCACACGCGGCGCCGCGCAGCCCAGAGACGCGGCATGCGCCTTGCCGAAGAGACTCGGCAGCGCGCTGCGCAGCCGCGCTTCGACGCCACGGCTCAGCTGCGCAGAGTTCGCCGCGGCGCGCGCCGCGCTGGTGCGCGCCTCGCTCTGCGCGTCGACGTCGCAGTCCGCGAGCGCTGCCGTTCCCAGATGCACCGGAAGCGGCGTGCTGCGCAACGGCGGCACGCCTGCGGTCTCGCGGCAGCGACTATTTTTCGCCGTCGCTGTGCCGGCCTCCGCGCGGTACAGCGGCGAACCGTAGAGCGCCAAACTGCTCATTTCGGCAGTTTATCTTTTTACTATTTATTTCCCGTTTTTAAAGCAATGGCCGCTGATGAACAAAACTTCCACGCTCTCCACGACAAGTAAGTACGAGCGCGCGCGACGCAGGTGGGCGTTCTGGCTGCGGACGACCAACAACCGCACAGAGGACTGGAACAACAGTCAGGCGAAATGCTACTCGTTCAAAACCATCGAAGACTTTTGGTGCCTCATCAACAGCATCATCAACCCGTTCCAGCTGAACACCTCAGTAGACTATTCCGTGTTTCGCGACAAAATTAAGCCGGACTACGACGACCCGCAGCTAGAGAACGGCGGGCGGCTGATCATTAAGTACGAGCAGAGCGACTTGAAGCACGGCCCGTGCTTCGACACCTACGTGGCGGTTTGCGCGATTTTGATTGGCGAGTCGCTCACCGTGCAGCATGGCAAACTCGCCGCGGGCATCCGGCTCGTCATCAAGCGCTCGAGCCTGAAGATGGAGGTTTGGTGCTTCACCGCCGAAGAGTCGAAGATTCGACCTTTCGCGCTCGACATGAAGAAGATGGTCGAGGAAGCCAACCTCGGCGTGCAACTCACGTACGAATTCAAAAGCTTCAAGAGCAACTGCAGCTTCACGCTGTAGACGCTGTCCGCTCGCCCGCCTGCGGCGCGAGCTGCGGCGCGCCAGACGCGCGCGTGTGCGCGATTTCTAGCAAGTCGGCCGCCGACTCCTCGCCTTCGGGCGGCTTCAGCGCGCTAAGCACGTACCCGGTGTGTCCGCGCGAAAGCTGCGGCTTGATTAAGTAACTGTCTGCCTCCGCGGCGCTCGGCGCTTCGCGTGCGCCGCTCCGCGCTTTCCACGCTTCGTACTGCACCGTAAACACTTCGCAGCCCGCGACCTCGTAGAAGCCGCGCTCCGCGAGATTCTGCGCCGTGCGACACAGTTGGTCCGTGCCGGTCACGAACACGCACAAGCGACCAGACGGGCGCAGCACGTCCGCGACGAACTGCGTCGCGCGCCACGGCTCCGGCAGGTCCAGAAAGACCGCGTCTGCGCGAAAGTCTTCGGCGCACTGCGGCGGCCGCAGGCCCTCCTCGTACACGTTGCGCAGCGCGCAGAACACGTTCGCGCAGCCCAGGTCCGCAAAGCGCTGCCGCATTTCGGCGTGCCGCGCCGCGTCGCACTCAAACGAGTAAACCGCGCCGAGCGCACCCACTACACGCGAGAAGCACATGCTCGTGCTGCCGCTCCCGGTGCCCGCTTCAACGACCACGCAGCCGCGCCGCAGCGCCAGCGCCGCCACAATCCGTGACAAGTCTGGCGCGTACACGCACTGCGTTAGGTGCTTGATCGAAAGCGTGTACAGCTCCGGGTTCAGCGGCAACACGACGAATGCGAAGTTCGTCACCTTGTGCGGGCGCACGCGCGCGCCGAAGCGCTGCCCAATCACCGCGTTGTGAAACACCGTGCCCTTCAGCGTGTCGAACCGCCCGCCTCGCTCGAGCCGCAGCTGGTAAACCGCCTTGCCCGCTCCGAACAGCACGACCCAGTCGCCCTCGCGCGCCAGCTGCGCGGGCTCCTGCGGCGCAGCCGCCTCCGCTTCGCTCATTGTCAAAATTTATTGCTTCGGTAATTAGCATGGGCAGCGCCTTGTTGGTCTCCGCCATCCACTGCTCAGACTTCGACCTGTTTATCGAGTGCGCCAGCTCTGAGCTACTCACTCCGAGCAGTAGGTTTGCCGTGCGCGCACGCAGTCGTCGCAGAAGTCGTCGCCGCGCTCAACACCGATGAGCTGTCG